AGCAACCTAAGGGTTATAGGAAATCAGAAAAAACACTGGTAATAAGACTTGATTTCTGGTCTTATTCATTAGATTCAATTCAGTGGGCATTTAATGGGGGCTTACCAGGTTCCGATATGAGTTAGGGATACAAGAAGAATAAGATCTGCCTCTGGTCTGCTAGAATTTCAGTCTAGCAGAGGAAAGGTACACATAAGCAAATGCATTGACTTGGGAGACATGCAGCACACGGCAGGTGGGTCTCGTTTTGTGGGGCCAAAAGATTATGCAACTTGGAGTCCCTTTGAAAGAAAAAGACAATGTTTGAAACAAAAATTAGGTATGGGGTCTTGAAAGGGTTCACTGTAAATGGGGGGCCATGAAGCATAAGTGTTGCACACTTCACAGTTGAGGTGAAGCGGAGGTGGAGGATAGCTGGGAGGGTAGCTGGGCTGGGGTAGCTGGGAAAGGGAAGGCAGGGTGGACATTGTTTCACAGGATAGAGTGCTAAGACTTCAGAACCCTTAAACTGGATTCTGAGATGATTAGCAGCAAGAGTGAGAGAGGTCAGGAGCACAGGAGTACCCCGTCCACTGCCATACACGGAATAAGCAGAGGCACCCCCAGGGGGTCAGGGAATAGCGTTGAACCGTCGAAAAGCAGGAATATTGATCAGCAGTGACTGTTTGGGTGTGTGGGGGTGAGACATTGGGATATTTATTTACTCAGACCAGGTACGTGTTTCAAATCCCAGAGGTGTGGATGGACTTACAGCGTGGCCTTCTAGTATGGTTTTCCAGACATCAACTATGCATACCCAAGCAAATATCCAGATATACTCTTTTTTTTTTTTTTTTGACACAAACAGTACCACATCATACCCTCTGTTCTGCCTCTTGAGCTTTCCACTCAACAAGACATCCTGCAGATTGTTCCATATTAGGACACAAATGAGACTCCTCATTCTTGTTGATGACTGTATAGTATTCCACTGTAGAGCTCTACCCTCATTCATCCAACCCGTCCTCTCTTGCTGCATGCCCAGCTACCTTCTACTGTTTTACCAAAATGCCACTTGCTGCTGGGAACAGCCTTCTAGAGAGGTGCAGCCTTCTAGAGTGAGAACAGATAAATTTCTAGCAGTGGAATGGCTGAGTTGAAGGCTGTGTGCAATTGTAATTTTGATAGACATTGCCAAATCACCCTCTCACCAGCATGTACAAGAATGTGTGTTTCCCCACACTCCCCAGTGTAGTATTACACACTATTTTTATATTTGGTGATCTGAGAGGTAAAAATGATATCTCAGTGCAATTGCAGTTGTGTTTATCTTATTGTGAGTGAATCTGAGTGTATTTCCATCCAGAGCTATTCACATTTATTTCACTGGACACTCTCCAGGCCTGTCTGTCAGCCACATTACTACTGGGTTGTCAATTTTTTACTTACGGATTCGTAATCACTATTTTTTCTTCTTCTTTTTTAATTATATAGAGTTATTTGCAAAATCACTCTTTGTATATTAAAGAAATGAGCCCCTTCTGTTGAATTGCTTATATATTTTCCCAATTTGTTCACTTCCTGGCACATCAAATTGGTCTTTGGAATAATAATAGCATTGGGAAGAATTGAGGGGCATGTCCCAACCCCCACAATTTCCCAGAAGGAAAAAAATTGTAAGTAACATGTTATAGCTTTCAACTCTACACAAAATTTGCCAAGTAAATGATGAAGCATCAGTCTCGGTTCATTAACGTATCTATGTGGAACACCTACTGGGTGCCAGGTGCTGTTCTAGGTGCTGAGGATACAGTGGTGACTGAAACAGTCAAGATCACACTCTCATGGAGCTGACGTCCTAGTGAGAGGGGCATGTCATGAATGAGTAAACAGGAATAGCGATGCCTGGAGATGGTGATAAGCCTTGTGAGGGAGATGAAATGGGGTGATAAGGGGAGGCCGGGCCAGGGGCTGGTATAGACTGGGTGGTCAAAGAGGGCACCTCTGAGAGGGTGACTTTGTGTTAGGACCCAGGCATAAGTGTCAGAATTAGAACTGCCCAGTAGAGGGAACAGCATGTGTAAAGGGCCTGAGCAGGAACAGGAACAAGCTTGGTGCATTTGAAAAAAACAGAAAAGGGCTGAATGGCTGGAGCACAGCCAGGGAGGGAGAGGGCAGTGGGAGATGAGCAGGGAGACAAGCACAGGCCTCAGTATAAAGGGACTTGTAGGCAGGTGAGGGGTTTTGTTTGCATTGTTGAGGGCTATGAGAAGCCACTGGACTGTGTGTGTAAGGCGGTTTTGCTTTTTCTTTCAGAAATGTTTAAACGTAAACGTAGAGAAAATTATGTCATGAACCCCATATACTCTTCACGAAGCTCAATAGATATCAACATTTTGCCAGTCCTATTGGCAAATAGGGTTTCATCTAAACTCCTTACTTTTTTTGGTGGGTGGAGGATTGAATTTTTTTTCCTCTCCCTCTCTCCCTACCTCATCCCCCCTATTTTCTCTTTATTTTACTTTATTTTTTACTTACCACTATACAAACAAGATTTTTTTTTGACATAGGGGTCTCACTATGTTGCCCAGGCTGGTCTTGAACTCCTGGACTCAAGCAGTCCTCCTGCCTCAACCACCCAAGGTGCTGGGATTACAGGCACACACCACTGTGCCTGGCCCTGTCTTAAAAAATACTTTTATTAAAATATAATACATATATAAAGGTGCACAAATCATAGGTATACAGCTATGAGCACTCCCATGGAACTGGTACCCAGATCTAGAAACAATGTGGCCAGCCCCCAGAAACCCCCTGGTGTCCCTTTTCAGTCTTTACTCCCCAAACTTCAACCATTAGAATCATACAGGATGTTCTCTGTCATAACTAGCTCTCTCACTGATGATGTTTGGGAAGTCTATGTTGTGGCATGTAACCGTGACTTGTAGGACTGCTCATTCTTGTTGCCATAGCTTCCACTGAAACAGTTTCTTTACCCATTCTACTGTTGTGGGCACTTGGCCTGTCTTCAAGTCCTGCCTATTTCAAATGGTCCACGTGAACATTGTAGTACATGTCTTGTGGTAAACACATACACATGTATGGTGGGTTACATACAGGAGTGGAGTTGCTGGGTCATAAGGGTGGTGTATGTTTAGCTTTCTTAGATAGTGTCTATATTAGTTTGCTAGGGCTGCCAAAACAAAGAACCACAAACTGGGTGACTTGAGAGAAATGTATTGTCTCACAGTTCTGGAGGCTGGAAGTCAGAAATCAAGGTGTCAGCAGGGTTATGAGGGAAGGATCTGTCCCTTCTGAGGGCTGTGAGGGAGGGATCTGTTCCAGGCCTCTCTCTTTGGCTTGTAGGTGGCTGTCTTTTCCCTGTGTCTCTTCACATCATCTTCCCTTTATCCATGTCTATGTCCAAATTTGCCCTTTTTATAAGGACACAAGTCATATAGGATTAGAGCCCACCCTAATGACCTCATTTTTAACTTGATCATCTGCCAAAGACCCTATCTCCAAATAAGGTTAATCTCTGAGGTTCTGGGGGTTAGGATTCCAACATATCTTTTTGGGGGGTGGCAGGGAGTGGGGGGAGACACTACAACCTGTAACAGTGCTAAAGAGCTTGCGAAAGTGGTTGTACTAATTTACACTGTTTGCTGGAGCATGTTAAAGCTAATTCCAGACATGATATTATTTGCCTTGGGAGTGTTTTTTTGTTTTGTTTTGTTTTTTTGTTTTTTTTTGGAGACAGAGTCTTGCTCTGTCGCCCAGGCTGGAGTGCAGAGAGGTACAGTGGCATGATCTCGGCTCATTGCAATCTTCGCCTCCAGGTTCAAGCGATTCTCCTGCCTTAGCCTCCCGAGTAGCTGGGACTACAAGTGTGTGCCACCATGCCTGGCTAATTGTTTGTATTTTTAGTAGAGACAGGGTTTCACTGTGTTAGCCAGGATGGTCTTGATCTCCTGACCTCCGCCTGCCTTCACCTCCCAAATTGCTGGTATTTCAGGCGTGAGCCACCGTGCCCAGCTGGGGGTGTTTTTGAAGGAGGAAAGACCTGGTCTGGTTTACAGTTTATTTATTTATTTATTTTTGAGACAGAGTCTCACTCTGTCAGCCAGGTTGGAGTGAATAGGTGTGATCTCGGCTCACTGTAACCTATGCCTCCCAGGTTCAAGCAATTCTTCTGCATCAGCCTCCAGAATAGCTGGGACTACAGGCATGTACCACCATACCTGGCTAATTTTGTATTTTTAGTAGAGATGGGATTTTGCCATGTTGGCCAGGCTGGTCTTAAACTCCTGGCCTCAGGTGATCCACCCACCTCGGCCTCCCAAATTGCTGGGATTACAGGCATGAGTCACTGCACCCGGCGTGGCTTACATTTTTAAATAATTCTATTTTTTCTGTGGAAATGTTAAAACAAGGCAAATATTTCATCAAGAAAGGGTAGCTGGGCACAGTGACTCCCAAAGTAATCCCAGCACTTTGGGAGACCGAGGCGGGCGGATCACGAGGTCAGGAGATCGAGACCATCCTGGCTAACATGTTGAAACCCCGTCTCTACTAAAAATAAAAAAAAATTAGCCAGGAGTGGTGGCGGGCACCTGTATCCCAGCTACTCGGGAGGCTGAGGCAGGAGAATGGCATGAACCCGGGAGGCGGAGCTTGCAGTGAGCCGAGATCAGGCCACCGCACTCCAGCCTGAGCGAGACTCCATCTCAAAAAAAAAAAAAAAAAAAAGAAAGAAAGAAAGAAGGGGTAAATAAAGAGTGAGCCCTCCCACGACTGCCCAGTTGGGACTCTCTGGTACCCCATGGTAGAGAGAAGCCTCTGGGTGCCCTTAGCTCAGGGATGCCATTCAAAGATCGAGTGGACCATCCCTCACTGCCCAGTGCCAGATTGCCATGTGGAGCAGCTTCCTGGTTTCAGCCCCTCAGGGTTCAGGTGATGCAGAGAGGATGAAACCCAGCCAGGACTCAGGCTGTCTTTCTGTCCACCCCGCTCCCTGCCAGGACATACAGCAGCTCCTCCAGCTCCAGCAGCTGGTGCTTGTGCCAGGCCACCACCTCCAGCCACCTGCTCAGTTCCTGCTACCGCAGGCCCAGCAGAGCCAGCCAGGTAAGGCCCCCCACCCCAGATGGCCTCCCTGACACCTCCACAGAACTTCCTCACCTTTCCCTCCCCCTCACCCTGTGTATTTCCCCTTGTCCCTCCAGGCCTGCTACCGACACCAAATCTATTCCAGCTACCTCAGCAAACCCAGGGAGCTCTTCTGACCTCCCAGCCCCGGGCCGGGCTTCCCACACAGGTGAGACTGTCCATTGAGTGCACCAGGCCGGGCCAGCAGCAAGGCCTGCTGAAAGCAGGGTAAACGGGGGTGTGGAGCGAGTGAGAGTCTCCTCTCCATTTGACCCAGCCACACTCTGCCAGTGATTTACTGTGAGACCTCAGGCAAGCCCATCTCCCTGTCTGAGTCAGCCTCTTCCTCTATAGAATGAGGGGAGCTGGCCCAGACGAGTGGTTCTTAACCCTTTCAGGTACATGGGCTCCTTTGAGAATGTGATGAAAGATTTAGATCTGATCCCCATTCCCCCAAAATGCTCATGTGCAAAAACACACAAAATTGTAGGGCGTTGCGAGCCTTTAGGCTACAAATGCCTCGGGCCTCTTCCAGCACTGCGATGGAGGATTCTCTGAAGAAGGCCTTCATTAGGTGATTATTTCACATCCACTTCCCAGACTGGAGACTGAAAACAAGGCCCACAGGTGTCTTTTATTTGGCCATTGTCAACTAAATTCCCAGAAAGCACCAGATTTTCAGTTCCTCTTGATAAACCAGAAAATCTGGCAGGGCCGTACCTGTGTCTATGTGGTGGCTTGGCACAGTGAGCAGTTGGCCTGACCACTAGCAGGAGCAGAGGCCCCTTAGCGTGCCAGCTCTCCAGACCACCTTGGCACCTGGACCCCAAGGCCTTTCGTTCAGTTTGCTGCCTGAGTTATAGACTTTAATGATCATTGTCACCACCTTTTATGAATTTCAACGTTTTTTTCCACTCATTTTTTATAGCCCCTTAAAAATATATACGTTAACTATTTCAGAAGGACTGAAAAGATTAGAGACTAATACAGGACTTAGCTGCAGTTCTGAAATCCCAAACGCTCTGAAAGTCAAGTTGTTCTTGCACCATTGGTATGAGAACTCATTTGACTGCAAAACCTGCCCTGCCATGATATAAGGCAGTGTGTGACTTTTCTTTGCCCCTCTTGGTATGGCATTTTTGCTGCTGCAAAACTGTTACTGTATCTGATTATGTAGTAATATCCTTGACCCCAGTGGGGGTAGGGGCTGTGCCACATTATCTATGATATACATCCTATGTTGGCTTTCTTTCTTTCTTTCTTTCTTTTTTTGAGATGGAGTCTCGCTCTGTTGCCCAGGCTAGAATGCAGTGGCTCAATCTCAGCTCACTGCACCCTCTGCTCCCGGGTTCAAGTGAGCGATTCTTCTGCCTCAGCCTCCTAAGTAGCTGGGATTACAGACATGCGCCACCACGCCCAGCTAATTTCTGTATTTTTAGTAGAGATGGGGTTTCACCATGTTGGCCAGGCTGGTCTCGAACTCCTGACTTCAGGTGATCCACCTGCCTCGGCCTCCTAAAGTGCTGGGATTACAGGCATGAGCCACCATGCCTGGTTGCCTATGCAGGTTTTCTGAAAACTGAAACAGGCACGGTGGTGCATGCCTATAGTCTCAGCTACTTGTGAGCCTGAGGAAGGAGGATCACTTGAGCCCAAGAGTTTGAGGCCAGCCTGGGCAACATAGTGAGACTGGTCTCTAATACAACAACAACAAAACCTGAGAAGGGTGAGAGTGGGTGGATGATGAGAAATTACTTAATGGGTACAGTGTACACTCTTCGGGTGATGGATACATTAAAAGCCTAGGTTTCATCACTACACAATACATTTGTGTAACAAAATTGCACTTGTACCCCTTAACATTTTGTTTTTTGTTTGAAACAGGGTCTTACTCTGTCACCCAGGCTTGGAGTGCAGTGGTGCGATCACAGCTTACTGCAGCCTCAGCCTCCTGGGCTCAAGTGAAGCAGTCCCCAGCCCTCCTGAGTAGCTGGTACTACAGTCATGCCCCACATGCTTGATTAATTTTTAAAAGTTTTGTAGAGATATGGCTGGATGCTTTGGCTCACGCCTGTAATCCCAGCACTTTGGGAGGCTGAGGTGGGCAGATCACGAGGTCAGGAGATCGAGACCATCCTGGCTAACACAGTGAAACCCTGTCTCTACTAAAAATACAAAAAATTGGCCGGGCATGGTGGCGGGCGCCTGTAGTCCCAGCTACTCGGGAGGCTGAGGCAGGAGAATGGCGTCAACCCTAGAGGCGGAGGTTGCAGTGAGCCGAGATCACGCGACTGCACTCCAGCCTGGGCGACAGAGCGAGACTTCGTCTAAAAAAAAAAAAAAAAAAAAAATTTGTAGAGACAGGGTTTCGCCATATTTCCCAGGCTGGTCTCAAATTCTTGTGCCCAAGCGATCCTCCCACTTTGGCTTCCTAAAGTATTGGGATTACAGGTGTGAGCCTCTGCACCTGTTGTCCTTAAATTTATACAAAAAGAAAAAGAAAAAGAAAAAAAAAAGACCGGGAGCGGTGGTCACCCCTGTAATCCCAGCACTTTGGGAGGCCAAGGTGGGTGGATCACCTGAGGTCGGGAGTTCAAGACCAGCCTGACCAACATGAAGAAACCCCATCTCTACTAAAAATACAAAATTAGCCAGGTGTGGTGGCGTATGCCTATAATCCCAGCTACTCAGGAGGCTGAGGCAGGAGAATCACTTGAACCCGGGAGGCAGAGGTTGTAGTGAGCCAAGATCGCACCATTGCACTCCAGCCTAGGCAACAAGGGTGAAACTCCGTCTCAGAAAAAAAATAAAAATTAAATTCAACAACAACAACAAAAATCTGAAAAATTAATAATGGATCAAGGACCTGAGTGACGGACATCCCTGCACCCACCACTTGCTTCAGATCCTTTATTTTTAGAGCAATGAATCATCCCAGATAGAGCTGTTGCTGTTTTGTAAATCTCCCTAATTGCCTCCCAGTCCTTTTTTTTTTTTTAATTTTATTTTATTTGCAATCTACTCATTGCTTAGGACTTAATTTCTTAAGAGCTGTTTTAGATTCACAGCAAAACTGAGTGGAAGATATAGAGATATCCCATCTATCCATGAACAGCTTCCCACATATCTATATCCCCAACCAGAGTGGTACAAGTGTAACAGCTGATGAACCTACATTGACACATCACTATTACCCAAAGTTCATAGTTGACATTAGGGTTCACTCTTGGCGTTGTACAGTCCATGGGTCTGCACGACCTACTCATCTTTAACCCGGTTCTCTCAACAGGCCCGTTGGGTAGACAGAACAGCAGTGATTGTTCCCATCCCGCAGAGGGGGAAAGTGAGGCCTGGGCTAAGCAGTGACTTGGTGGCAGGGCTAGTCCTTGATTCCCCGGTTGAGATGAGGATGAACCACTGCCTCCAGCTCCAGGGAAAGAGCCCTGGCTGGTCCTACTGGGAGTTCGCAGGCGTGAAGGAACAGTGCAGAGAGTCCCAGGCAATGAGGAAACCCATGTAGGGCAGCAGAGTCCAACCTTTAAAGGGATTGACAGTACGTGTGGAGGAAGGCGGGGGGAGTCTGCAAGCGGCGGATGGAACGCAGGGGCGAAGAGGGCGGGAGGGGGACTGCATCCATCGCTGAGCCCACTCCTGGTCCTCCGCCCTGCATCCCACCCACCTGCCCACCCCACCAGGCCGTGACCCGCCCTACGCTGCCCGACCCGCACCTCTCGCACCCGCAGCCCCCCAAATGCTTGGAGCCACCATCCCACCCCGAGGAGCCCAGTGATCTGGAGGAGCTGGAGCAGTTCGCCCGCACCTTCAAGCAACGCCGCATCAAGCTGGGCTTCACGCAGGTCTGGAGCCACCTTGCAGGCTGGGCGGTGGGTGTGGGGGCGTGATCAGTTGATGGATGCTGCGAGGGGCGTGGCCAGCCGGTGGGCGGAGCGGGCCCAGTGCCGGAAGGCCCCGCCCTGACCTCCGCCCCTTCCCCGCCGCACTGGCCCAGGGTGATGTGGGCCTGGCCATGGGCAAGCTCTACGGCAACGACTTCAGCCAGACGACCATTTCCCGCTTCGAGGCCCTCAACCTGAGCTTCAAGAACATGTGCAAACTCAAGCCCCTCCTGGAGAAGTGGCTCAACGACGCAGGTGGGACTAGGCTGGGCCTCCCGCGTAGGGGGCGGGCGGTGGCCGGTGGCCGCGGGAGGCGCCTTCTAATGCTCACGTCTCCCCCGGGGCACAGAGACTATGTCTGTGGACTCAAGCCTGCCCAGCCCCAACCAGCTGAGCAGCCCCAGCCTGGGTTTCGATGGGCTGCCCGGCCGGAGACGCAAGAAGAGGACCAGCATCGAGACAAACGTCCGCTTCGCCTTAGAGAAGAGTTTTCTAGCGGTGAGGCCCTCTCCTGGGTGGCCCTCACCTGAGGGGTGGCGGGCGGTGGGCCCCGGGCTAACAAGCCCTCTGCTTGCAGAACCAGAAGCCTACCTCAGAGGAGATCCTGCTGATCGCCGAGCAGCTGCACATGGAGAAAGAAGTGATCCGCGTCTGGTTCTGCAACCGGCGCCAGAAGGAGAAACGCATCAACCCCTGCAGTGCGGCCCCCATGCTGCCCAGCCCGGGGAAGCCGGCCAGCTACAGCCCCCATATGGTACCAAGAGCCCGCCTGGGGGGTGGGAGACCACAGAACTCCGCAGGCACCTGTGTGAAGCCCACCCTACCTGGTTGTCCACAGAGCCTAGAACAGAGGCAAGGAGAGTCACTCTTGGGGACAGGCCATCACGTAGATGGGCACAGTCACACAGGGGCAGTTTCCAGGGAACTGTGTCTTACGTGGGGGATACAAGCACCCCTAGATACACACTGACATAGACAGACACAGAGTTATTACAGTGGCATAGCCACACAGGGAGGGATATATGTCCAAGAACGTGGTCCAGGTTAGAACACACAGGCTCACAACCACAGGGAGGCAGGGAGAGGCATTTATTGGCCATTCAGGGACATTGTCACACCCATAGGCGTACTCTCAGGTCCATAGCTACACACAAGCCCACTTGATCTCAGACACAGCTGGGACATCCTTTATCCCATCCCTTTATTTCCATTCCTGGAAAGAGCTGTGATGTTCCAGAGAGGAGCCCCCACCCCCAGTGGGATGAAGGAGGCACTGTCTGAACTGAGTTCTAAAGCACAAGGGAGAGTTAGCCAGCCACGAGAAGGCAAAGGGCCTTCCTGGACTAGTGTGCACTAAGGCCTAGAAACCAGGGTGTGCCCAGCCCAATTTGAGACACTCCAGTGCAATTTAGTGTGGTTGGTGCTGCAGTTTATATGAATGAGGTTGGGGAAGGGGTGGGGGCATGTACCCCAAGTTTTACAGTGAAGAGCTGGAACTTGAACCATGGGCAGTGAGGAGGTAAGGAGGGGTTTTAAGCTGGGGAAGGAGAGAAACCACACATTTAGTGAGGTTTCTGGGGCTGATGCAAAGGTGAGACTGGAGGTGGGGTGGCCAAGAAGGAAGCTGGTGGATGGTCCCAGAAAGTCAAGTAATATGACATCTCAACACCCTGATGCAAAGATACGCATCCATTTAGCCTCACACTTCAGATCTGCTCTTTCCCTGCCTGGGTCACTTTGATCAGTCTCTGCTGCATTGCTTGCCAACCCCACTGGTAAAAGGGTGGTTTTGCTTGTCCAGGGAAAAGAATTTTAGTTTTGCAGAACCAACAATAGTAGGAGCATGTAGAGCAGCCACTCTTCTGGTGTAGTCACTTCAGACAGGACGCAACCCTGCAGAGACTAGCCAGACGGAGCGGTGTCAGAAGAGAGGTTCGGGGTGCTCTTAATGGAGAATTAGCCCTTCATTCTTGTGGCTCAGGATCAGCTAGGGCAAGTGTGAAGAAAGCATGTGGAATAATACAAATGCAGCATTGTGCCAAAGCCTCCTGCCCCCATCCTGGGACAGAGGAGTGGGGTCCTGCAGGGAGCATCACGGGGGCTGCTGGCAGACAGTGGCTAACCATACCTCCTTTCTTCTCTCCTCAGGTCACACCCCAAGGGGGTGCGGGAACCTTACCATTGTCCCAAGCTTCCAGCAGTCTGAGCACAACAGGTCAGGGAGGGCAGAAGATGATGAGGGGGGCCTGGGAGGATGTGGCACAGGCTGGAGCCTGAGGCTCCCAAGTGGCTCTGGGTGTCCATGGGCCTCAAGACTGAGCCCGGGGAGTGTGGGTGGGGGAATGGGAGAGACAGTGGGAAGAGGGCAGGACTCACCCCTCCTCTACAGGAGCAACTCAGCTTTAATCTGCTCCACGATTTCATATGAGAAAAGCATGGGCCTGGTAAAAGGTGAGGCACTTGGGTTTTGCACCTGGCCTCTGTCATTTTTAGGCTGTGTGAATTCAAGTGCTTATTTTATCCTTCTAAGCCTCAGTTTTTATAAAATTATTATAAATGTGTAATACCTACAAAAGATATAAATACATGTATGTAAGAGTGTATGTATGTATACACACATACATGCATACATACATACTCTTGTACCCAGAGTTCCCCTCCCTATTCCTGGGACACGGCAGGTTTAGATGTATGGTTATACACCATATATATAAGAATAATATAAAATTGGCCTGGTGTGGTGGTTCATGCCTATAATCCCAGCTCTTTTGGAGGCCAAGGCAGGCAGATCACCTGAGGTCAGGAGTTCAAGACTAGCCTGGCCAACATGGGAAACCCTGTCTCTACTAAAAATACAAAAATTAGCTGGGTGTGGTGGCGTGTGTCTGTAATCCCAGCTGCTCGGGAGGCTGAGGCAGGAGAATCACTTGAACCCGGGAGGAGGAGTTTGCAGTGAACTGAGATCACACCATTGCACTCGAGCTTGGGCAACAGAGTTAGATTCCATCTAAAAAATATATATACACACACACACACACACGTACACATTTAATACATATACACATAATATATATGCACATAATATATACGTAATATATATACACATAGATATATATACACATTATATATATACACACACACATACACACACAACAACATATTGCCCCTCCCCAGGCTAGAAAATAGTAAGTGGAGATTTATAAAGTAGTGCTTGCCTGGCACTGTACTAAGCTCTTTGTAAACTGCATTGAGTGACTTAATTCTCAAACTCATTTTATGAGATAGGTTCTATTATTATCCCCATTTTCCAGACAAGGGATCTGAAGGTCAGAGAGGTTAAGGCACTCGCCCCAGGGCACCCCTGGGATGAGACAGAGCCAGGAGTTTCTACCCCAGCAGTCTGGCTGAGTCTGGGCCCTCAGTCCCTGCCAGGTTGCCCATCCCTCAGCTGTGGCAATGTGCCTGGCATCCCTCACCCCTCCCCTAGAGGGAGCCATAGGGTTCTGACTGCTGGGGGCCCCCGTTTCTAGTCAGTAAAAAAGTGGTTCAGGGCGGGGAGTACAGAGTGCCAGGGCTCAGCAGGAAGCAGCTGCTCTGACTTCCATTGTTATGATAGGGGTCACCATGGCAGAGGCACAGGGAAATCACTCTGGGAAGAGAGGGCAGGGAGGTCTAAGGCTGTTCTGACTGAGGAGATGCTGCGTGAGCTGGGTGGGAGGACAAGTAGGAGTTGACCCCAGGTTCCTCAGTGGGGGATGAGTGGAAGCTGAAGACCCCATCTCTCTGTCTCTCTCTGGCAGTTACTACCTTATCCTCAGCTGTGGGGACGCTCCACCCCAGCCGGACAGCTGGAGGGGGTGGGGGCGGGGGCGGGGCTGTGCCCCCCCTCAATTCCATCCCCTCTGTCACTCCCCCACCCCCGGCCACCACCAACAGCACAAACCCCAGCCCTCAAGGCAGCCACTCGGCTATCGGCTTGTCGGGCCTGAACCCCAGCACGGGGTAAGTGGGTGCAGGTGGGAGGCTGTGGGGAGAAGCAGGGTCGCTGCTGCTTCTAGGGTGGGGAGCTGCACCCCAGTTATGTTGGCAGGTCCCTGCCCCTGCTAATGCCTCTGCTTTGCCTCTTGCAGAAGCACAATGGTGGGGTTGAGCTCCGGGCTGAGTCCAGCCCTCATGAGCAACAACCCTTTGGCCACTATCCAAGGTTCGTGCTGCCTCATGTCACACCCATCGTCACCAGCCCTATCCTCTGGGGCCTCGAGCCCTGCCATTGTTGCTCCAGCCATGCCATCCCGCCCCTGCTCACTGCATCGCTCGCCTCTTCATACCCATCTCACCTTTGGGGAAGGTGTGAGGGGTGCTGATGGGGGTCAGTGGGACCGATGGGGAGATGGGGGGCACTCTGGGTAGGACGCTGGAAGGCAGAGGTCTCCCCTGGCCCGGCGTGCCCCCAGCCCAGCCTCTCTCTCTCCCCGCCAGCCCTGGCCTCTGGTGGAACCCTGCCCCTTACCAGCCTTGATGGCAGCGGGAACCTGGTGCTGGGGGCAGCTGGCGCAACCCCGGGGAGCCCCGGCCTGGTGACCTCGCCGCTCTTCTTGAACCATGCTGGGCTGCCCCTGCTCAGCACCCCGCCTGGTGTGGGCCTGGTCTCAGCAGCAGCTGCGGCCGTGGCGGCCTCCATCTCCAGCAAGTCTCCTGGCCTCTCCTCATCCTCTTCATCCTCCTCCTCCTCCTCCACTTGCAGCGAGGTGGCCGCACAGACCCCTGGAGGCCCAGGGGGGCCCGAGGCAGCGTCCAAACCTGAGTGAGGGCCAGCCATGCCTCCCTTCCCATTCCTCTGATCCCTGCCTTGGTCCCTCACCTGGGAAGAGGGCGAGGAGGCCAGTGGTGGGGACACAGAGGGTCCTCAGAGCAGAGTGACAAGGGAGGAAAGACCAAAAAAACAAACCAACCAAAAAAAAAAAAAGGAAATAAACTAACCAACAAAAGAGAAAACCAAAAATAATCACAACAGAAACCAGCTGCCCCAAAGGAACCAGAGGTGAAAAACAAACAAACAAACAAAAACCAAAAACTAACCAAAAAAATAAAAAAAAAACCCCACAAAATCAAACAAACCAAAAAACCAGTCGCGAGCCAGACCTCAGCGTGCTCACCCTCACTGCTACAACGCCAAATAAGAACCCCAGCCAGGGGCGGAGAAGCCTCCAGCAGGTCAGACCTCATGCCACCGAACCCTGGCTGTGGGACCAACCCCCAACCCTGCCTCCCCGCATGGGGGCTATAGATGGAAAAAGAAGATGCCAGCTTCCTAGTCCCGGCCCCCAGCCCTGGACCAGCGAAGACAGGGCACAGCCTGGGCAGATGGGCTGGGGCTCAGCACCACCCACCAAATGTTCTTTTCCAGAAGGTGAAAGAGAAAGGGCCTGAACAACCTTACACCAAATATTCAGTAGCTTCATCCAAAGGATGTACAGAATTTTTAGCATTGTGCTCAACAGAATGTGTCCCTACCATGTGTCCCCCTCTCCCCTGGCCCCCAGCTCTCCCCACCTGGGCAGGGGGGCTCGCTTTAACCTCCTGCCTCCCCCCAGCCAGGGGAGAGTTCAAGAGAAGGCCTGGGGACAACTTTTCATCCCTTGTTCCTCCCTCTTTTCCCCTTTGAAAGGTGGGCTAGGCCATTTTGCCAAGTTCTAGCTCTCACAAGTCCCTCCTCAACCCTGTCACCCTCCTCTGCTCTGGAAGCGACCCCCTCCCCATCTTATGGGAAGGTGGAAGTTTCAGGCTAGAGGGGATGAAGGCATTCAGTTGAGGGCATTCAGTTGTCTTTTTCCATCCTGTCTGTTTCCCTGAAAAAAAAAAATTCATATTCCAGTGCCTATCCGTGGGATCCTTCACGTTCTTTGACATTAACCAGAAACCAAAAAGAGAACTCATCTTGCTTTTCCCACCCCGTGCCCCTCTGGTACTGGCGAATGCCTCTCCCTCCCCCCCACATGCACACATGCACACACCCCAGTGGTGGGGTTCCTTGAGATGGCATCCCCATCAGGGTCCATGTGGTGGGACAGTGCCACAGCCTGTGGTCCCCATCTGAGAGGGTGCGGTGGTGGCCACCAATCCCACAAGACCTCCACAAGTCTTGGCTGGACCCTGTGTTTGACCAGCCCTGGACACATCTCCACTGACGATGGACAGAGGAGAGACGCCACTGGGAGCCACCCTGCCCTCCTGCTATTGTGGAGGCCAACAAAGTTTTGAACCAAAAACCAAAAAAACAGAAACAATAAATTTAAACTAGAAAAAAAGAATTTATATATATATATACATATATATATATATATATAAAAGGGAAAGAAGATGAGGACTCTTCAAGAATAAGACGGAACCGCGAGGCGGAGCCAAGCCCCTGCACCGGTGGCCCTTGTTCCCCAAGGCGGACAGAAGGACGGATGCTTCTTTCTCTTCACAAATACCTCATGGACGTCGTCTTTGGGAAAGCCGGAGGGGGCGGCTGGGGCAGGGCCTGTCCCTCGGCCAGGGCAGATAGAAGCAGGTGGGTGGGGCTGAGAGAGGGTGTCAGGGACAGGGGTGAAGAACCCCAAACTCCCCCCCCAAATCAACTGAAAAAGCTTTAAAAAAAAGAAAGACAGGAAAAAAGGGAGTAAGAAAGCAAAAAGAACAGATGAAGGAAAACTTAACTTTCCGGTGGTTTGATTCCTTCTTTGATTTCTTTTTCGGTTCTCTTTTGTCTGTCCTCTCTCCTCCTCTCCTTCCTCTCTTCTCCCTCCTTCCTCTCTCCTCCGTCTCCCTTTGCTCTCCTCTCTCCTCTCTCAATCTTGTTCTTTCTGTGTCTCTCCTCAAACCAAAGTGTTGCAGTGAAGGACACGAGCCATTGAAATCAGGGTGGGGCCTGACAGCCACAGTGTGGCCCCCGCCCCTCGCTGGGCAGGAGCAGAGAGAGGGGAGAGCCCTGAGACCACAGGGCTTTGGCCTGGGCAGCTTCCACTTTCTGCCGGACACTCTGAGGAGAGGCAGATGGAGCCCCAGGCCTCAGTGTTCTCTTTTTTCTTGTCTCCCTTCTCCCACCCGGGAAATGAAACTGTTGGGCTGGGCCATGGAGGCAGCAGAGACTCGGCCATTGCAGGGGCCTCCGGGTGCCTTGTCCGGGCAGTGGTGGAGTAGCCGCCCCTCCCACCCCTGGCATGATGGGGCCTGGCACCTTGTTGACCCATCCTCGCCGGAATGTAAGCATCTCCGCTGAATGACTCCCTGCCCTTACCCTACCTCTGAGTTTGTCCATGTTTATTTCCTGAAGAGAGAAGGGACTGGTAAGAGGGCTTGGGTCCCAGCCCAAGGGTGGAGAGGGGGCCAAGGGCTCCTGACCAAATAGGAAGGACATTTGAGCAGAGCAAAATGAAAGGAATTACAACCAAAAACCCCCTCTGAGAAGACAGGCAGCATGGAAGGCATGGTGGAGATGACTCAAACAAAAACTATGATTCTAGACCAAAAAGGAAAAAAAAAAAAAAAGGAAAGAAAATCCAGGACTCACCACCACCCACTTCATCCTGCTTCCTCCCCATCAAGTCCCACCACCTGGGACCTCTCCCCACCCCAGTATGGGGTAGTGGGGCAAACAGAAGAGGAGGAGCAGGGGGCAGGGAAGGGGCAGATGCCCTGACGTTGGTGGAGGGACCCCTGTGCAGCCAGGGGTGCTGGGGACCCTCCCCATCCAACCCTCACACCTAGGAAAAGAAAAACAAGAAAAAAGAAAATTCCTGGGAGGGGGAAAAATAACCAAATCCCAAGCTTTAACTACAGCTGTGAAACCAAATATTGGGAAGGGGGTAGGAGGGAAGGAGGGGCAGGTGAGCCCCAGGTCTCCCCCCTGGGCCCCCCTCCCCCGAGGACTCGAGATAAGGCACCAAATACCTCATAGAACTTTAATGTTAAAAAAAGGAAACCAAATATCGTTGGCTGGGGGCCAGCCAGGGCAAGGGGCTGGGGGGCTGGAGGGAGCCAGGGTTGGGAAGGTGATGGGGGAATTCATGCCCCCCACCCCCATCTGCCCCTTCCACTCTGGTCCCCCGTCTCGACTCCGGGAAACAAAACTATCTCATCGTTTTTATTTTGTGGTCTGTACAGAGCCTGTGTCCGTGTGTCTGTGTGTGAGCGAGAGAGTTGGAGGGCTGGGGAGCTTTATGTGGGGGATGGGGAGGGAAACCCCAGGCTAGGCTATGGGCTAGGTTAGGTGTCTGAGGTTGGGAGCTGAGGGCCTGGGCTAGAAAGAGAGGAGAGATGAGTGGATTGGAGCAGTGGGGAGCCCTCTGAATTTCTCTTCTCCCCAACCTTGACCTCCTACTTAAGGGAGGGACAGAGACTGGGTCTACCCTAATGGTGGGCCTTTTCATTGTGCCAAAAAAAAAAAAAAAAAAAAACTGATGCCAGTAACTAAACCACCTCTCTCTGTTCTCTTCTAGGGGGTGGGGTGGGTGTGTGTGTGTTGGGGTGGGTAGGGATGGGGAACCCAAGCCCCAGTAGGAGTTGGGGCTGAGATCAGGAGGGGAAGGATATGAGTTTTCTACCCATCTCCCCGGAGAAGGCCATGATGGGCTCTCCAAGCCCTGGGGAGATTTGGTGAGGGACTAGCCAAGTCAGGGTGACCTCTTGACCTGACTAGTTTTTCTAACCCACCCGAATACCAGGGTGCCTCTCTCTTCCTCTAGCCCAGGGTAGGGGGACCTGAGTGAGAGAGTGAGACAGACAGCAAGATTGAGACACGCGGGCCCCCACTGGTCTCTGAGTGGGAAAGGCAAGTGCGAGAGATAAAGGCCTCCAAGAGAAAAAAGAAACAAACCAAAGATTTAACCATTAAAAAAAAAAAAAAAAAACCCACAGACAACTCCGCTACCTTTTTATACGTTGGAAAAAAAAGTGAAAAAAATTTAAAAATAAAAATAAAAAAAAAATACACAAAAACTCCAAGCCGCAGGTCCTTCATGCGGTTTAAACTTTGACCTCAGCAGTCTCCAAAGCAAGACGACGATGACAAAGGCGGAAACAAAGAAAAAATAATGTATATTTTTAAGTATTTGTCCTTGAATTGTTAGCTCCTTGTTAAACAAACAAGAAAAGGAGAGAAAAATCCAGAGAGAAGTGTTGCTGGGATGGAGACGACTATTTACTATGTCTGTGACCCCTCCCTTTTGCCTCCCTCCCCTTCCTCTCTTTCCTGTCCTCTATCCTTGCTGCCCCTCCCCCAACCTGTCCCCCAAACCCAGGGGCTCAGTATTTATTTATTTATATAATTGCAGGGTGACTGGGGGCCTCTCTCGGCAACTCATAGAGGGCCTTTGGATCATGGTGGGGTGGGGAAAGAGTGAGGAGTCTTTGGGAAGAGCAGGGGCCTGAACTTGGATCAACTCCTTTCTGGCCTCTTGTCCCACTGCTGCCACCATCACCTTCCAAATCCAGGGCTGCACTAGGGCAAGGTGACCACCCTACCTCGTAAAGACCTGATTGGCGCAGCCCATTCTGGTGTGGGTGTCTCTCACTGCCCAGAATGACCAGGTTGGAATGGAGGTGGGTGAAGTTGGAGGGGGTGGCAAGTACAAGGCAAGGGTGCCCAAGAACTGGCATCCAGAAATCAGCCCCAGAGTAGACCTGTCTTTCCTCCATCCTCACCAAGTTAGCCTCCCTTTCAGTTCCGTCTGACCCCTGTGTTGGTAGCCCCTTCCTTCCCTTCCTGTACCCCCTCCCTGTCTCTTCTCGTGGTAGCGGGTTAGCGTTTCAGTGTTCTTAACTCCAATCTGCTTGTTCATTGTACAATGTGCTTCTTTTAAGGCCCCATTTTTGTAACTTGAGTGTGTCATTCATCTGAACAACAAACATCAAAAAATAAAAAATTAAAAACTGTACAGAGAGAAATGATGCCTGCTCTCCCTTGGTCTCCTCTCTGTCCTGGGAAGAGTGGTGAAGACATCAGGGTGTGGGGTTGGAGATCTGTATGCTGGGGAGGGGAGGGCTTTACTTCTGTTCCAATAGTGAATGTTCACAGTCTGGGCAACAGAGTGAGCACTCTTCTCTACAAAAGCCCCAAAAACTCAACTAGGCATCATGGCGTGTGCCTGTTGTCTAGTCCTAGCTACTTGGGAGACTGAGGTGGGAGGATCGCTTGAGCCCGGGATGTCGAGGCTGCAGTGAACCGTGATCATGCCACTGCACTCCAGTCTGGGTAACAGAGAGAGACTTTGTTTAAAAAAAAATAATAATAATAAATAAAATAAATGTTTAAAAATAGTGAATGTTTGTTTGGAAGTAAAACCTGCACAAATGTTCTTGCCAAAGAACCGTCTTTGAATTCAGGATGAATTCACATTTCCGAATTCAAATCTCAATTCTGCCGTTCTATGACCTTCAATATGTGAGTTTCTGTGTCCTCACTGTAAATTAGGGACAATACCTACCTCACAAGGTTGTAGGATGATGGTCTAAGTAAAGTGCTTAGGACTGGGCTCCAGCACACTGTCTTCAATAAATGAGAACTATGAGAAAGCCAGGAAACCAGCAAGTACCTCCCCATTTCCATCCCTGGATGCTTCCCTAGAGGACTAGAGAGACTCTTCAAAACCAGAGTTTCAATTAACACATTAAAAAGTTTCAGCCTCACAAATTGTCAAATAAATTAACAGAAGAGTTATACGTCATTTTTTCACATCACCAAAAAAATGCAAAAAACAAAAAACGCCAGGCGCGCTAGCTCACGCCTGTAATCTCAACACTTTGGGAGGCTGAGGCAGGCGGATCACCTGAGGTCAGGAATTCGAGATCAGCCTGGCTAACACGGTGAAACCCCGTCTCTACTAAAAATACAAAAATTAGCCAGACGTGGTGGTGCACGCTTGTAATCTTAGCTACCCAGGAGGCTGAGGCTAGAGAATAGCTTGAATCCGGGAAGCGGAAGTTGCAGTCAGCCGAGATTGCGTCATTGCACTCCACATCAGGTGACAGAGTGAGATTCCATCTCAGAAAAAACAAAACAAAAAAAAACCAGGCCATGTGCGGTGGCTCCTGCCTGCAACCCTAGAATTGAGGAGGCCAAGGCAAGAAGAACCCTTGAGCCCAGGAGTTCAACACCAGCCTGGGCAACACAGTGAGACCCCATCTCTACAAAAATTGAACAAAATTGGGCCAGGTGTGGTGGCTCATGCCTGGAATCCCAGCACTTTGGGAGGCTGAGGTGGGTGGATCATTAGGTCAGGAGTTCGAGACCAGCCTAGCCAATATGGTAAAACCGCGTCTGTACTAAAAATACAAAAATTAGCCGGGCGTGGTGGTGCGTGCCTGTAGTCCCAGCTACTTGGGAGGCTGAGGCAGAAGAATCGCTTGAACCTGGGAGGTGGAGGTTGCAGTGAGCAGAGATTGTGCCACTGCACTCCACCCTGGATGACAGAGTGAGACTCCATCTCAAAAAAAAAAAAAAAAAAAAAAAAAATTGAACAAAATTAACTGGGCATAATGGTGTACATCTGTGGTCCCAGCTACTTGGGAAGCTGAGGTGGAGCTCTTGAGCCCGGGAGGCCAAGGCTGCAGTGAGCTGTGATAGTACCACTGCACTCCAGCCTGGGTGGTGACAGAGCGAGACCCTGTCTCAAACCAACCAACCAGAGTTGATTTTGAAGTTTTCTGGTGGTACAATGTACACACCAACCCCCTTCCTTTTTAGAGCAACATTAACTCTTACTCAAATTATTGTGCCCATCTGTCATTCAGCAGTAGCAACAGCTTCTGCAGGCCATCAGGCCATGGACTGATCCCTAAGACCTCACCACTGAAAGGCAGAAGTAGTATTAATGAAAATGCACTGTTAAGACTGGGCGCGGTGGCTCATGCCTATACTCCCAGCATTTTGGGAGGACCAGGCTGGCGAATCACTTGAGGCCAGAAGTTCAAGACTAGCCTGCCCAACATGGTGAAGCCCCATTCTGCTAAAAATACAAAAATTAGCCGGGCGTGGTGGTGCACACCTGTAATCCCAGCTACTCGGGCAGCTGAGGCACAAGAATCACTTGAAGTTGGGAGGTAGAGGTTGCAGTGAGCCGAGATCATGCCACTACACTCTAGCCTGGGTGACAGAGTGAGACTCTATCTCGGGGGGTGGGGGGGGGGAAGAGCTGTTGGGTTTCCTCAACACTGTTCCATCCTCTAATGTATGCTTGGCACACAGGTGCTGGGATCCTGCAAATTCGATAGTGAGGGCTGTGGGAATCGAGGCACAGGAAAAGTATGAGTGAAAGACAGGTTTCATATGTAGTAAGACAAGAAGTGTCAGCATTGCAATGTTTTGGCAAGACTGAAAAAACGCAAAGCTCCTCAACTCTCCCAACAAGTCAGCAGGGATGAGGCATAAGAATAATACATGGAGGAAGATCATTGGCTTCAGGCCCATCTTCAAGGTGGCACAGTCAGAACCACACAGAACCCAAGACCCCATCTCTACAAAATACATTAGGCAGAAGTGGTGGTGCTCGCCTGTAGTTCCAGCAACTTGGGAGGCTGAGGCAGAAAGATCACTTGAGCCCAGGAGGTTGAGGCTGTAGTGAGCCGTGATCGTGCAACTGCATTCCAGCCTGGGTGACAAAGCAAGACTCTGAAAAATAGGAAAAAAAACAAAAACAAAAAAAAACAGGCCAGGTGTTATGCCTCATGCCTCTAATCCCAGCACTTTCGGAGGCCAAAATGGGATGATCCCTTCAGGCCAGGAGTTTGAGACCAGCCTGGCCAACATAGCAAGACCCCATTTCTAATAAAAAGATAAAAATAAAACCTAACACAGGAACAGAAAACCAAACACCATATGTTCTCACTCATAAGTGGGTTGAACAATGAGAACGCATGGACACAGGGAGGTGAGCATCACACACTAGGGCCTGTCAGAGGGCAGGGGGCTAGGGAGGGATAATATTAGGAGAAATACCTAATGTAGATGACGGGTTGATGGGTGCAGCAAACTACCATGGCATGTGTATACCTATGTAACAAACCTGCACGTTCTGCACATGTATCCCAGAACTTAATTTTTAAAAAATCCTAGGATTTGGAACTATATGTATATAAACATTAAAATGTATGTTTATATATGTCTATAAAGAGTAAAACAATAAAAATCTCTTTATATATATATCAATATTTACTGTATCTATTGTATAATTTATATACATATAACAGGTAGGATACACATACACATAACCTATGTATTTTTTTGTATAAACAGAACCCTAATACATTAACTTTTCAAATACTATGTCATTTATTTTACAAGATTATTAGAATTTGTTTTAGGCCAGAGGCGGTGGCTCATGCCTATAATCCCAGCACTTTGGGAGGCTGAGGCGGGTGGATCACCTGAGGTGGGGAGTTGGAAACCAGTCTGACCAACATGGTGAAACCCCGCCTCTACTAAAAATATAAAAATTAGCCAGGTGTGGTGGCATGTGCCTGTAACCCAAGCCACTTGGGAGGCTGCGGCAGGAGAAACACTTGAACCTGGGAGGTGGAGGTTGCAGTGAGCCAAGACCACACCATTGCACTCCAGCCTGGGCAGCAGAGCAGACTCCATCTCGAAAAAACAAATAAATAAAGGAAAAAGAGTTCAACAGAAGGATTTGGAATAACCTCTGGGAAGAAGGGGTCTCAGAAGCAAGGCTAGCACAGCAGCCTAGCATCGCCCCAGTCACATACTCTTTTCTTGTCTCCACCACCCTCCCCGAAGTATGCAGAAGGCAGCAGAATGGAGAGAAAAGCATATGGGTGATTAAACCAAATGAAATGAAATCAGGCTTAAATTCAAGCTCTGCCCTGCCTGGATTGAATCTGACCTTGGGCAAGTCATCTCAATGCTTTTGACTGGAGATTCCTTCCCTGCAAAATGTTCTCACCTAATCAGTGTGAATATTATTGTTATATAGTACTTGAGACTAACTAGATGTTCAAACATTGGCCAGCCATTCCAACAATCCATCTCTCACGATAAAAATCTGTTGGCTATCCCAGCACTTTGGGAGGCCGAGACGGGTGGATCACGAGGTCAGGAGATTGAGACCATCCTGGCTAACACGGTGAAACCCCGTCTCTACTAAAAAATACAAAAAACTAGCCGGGCGAGGTGGTGGGCGCCTGTAGTCCCAGCTACTCGGGAGGCTGAGGCAGGAGAATGGCTTGAACCCAGGAGGCGGAGCTTGCAGTGAGCTGAGATCCAGCCACTGCACTCCAGCCTGGGCGACAGAGCGAGACTCCGTCTCAAAAAAATAAAAATAAAAAAAAAATCTGTTGGCTGAGCCAAAGTCCAACTCCAGGGGGATTCAAGTCACCACCCCTCATGAAGCTTCCTATGTCCAGACACATATTATTCAGAATCTCCTTTAATTCCACAGCCCCAGAGATCATGCCTACCTGCATTTGCTTTTGGGGATCAATGAGAAAATCAGATGGCCTTGGGAGACAAGGCCATATCAGGCCAGGAGTCAGGGACAGGGGTGTTAGAATCTGATTTCTCTGAAAGTTCCTGCCACCAGCACAAGCACCCTTGAGCTTTTCCACAGAGCCAGGGACCTCTAGTGGCAAGAGTCATGCTACCTCCATCTAGCAGTAAAGTGAAGGCCCTGCTTGAGAGCCATGCCCATGAACACCAGGTCATTCTCTTCAGCCCAGCAAATGTTTACTGGGCTTGTACTATCCCTGCTACCTGCCAGGCCCACTTCTGGGTGCTGGTGACGCAGCCATGAGAGGTAAGACCCGTGACTCCCAAATTCCACTCTATACACTGCTGGCAACTCGGTCTTTATTGATGGTTTCATTTTTGGGGTCACCAGTGCTAAGAGGTGGAAGGTGGGGGGGGCACCTTTTTGTGTGTCAAGGACCCGAAAGCACCC